CGTGTTAGCTAGTTGCATTGAGTTTTCATAGTCGCTGGAAATCATACTTTCTGTGGCTGCTGCGAGGGTAGCCATAGCCAGAGTCACAGATTCTGGTTCCGCTGAAGGCATCTCTTTTGATAAATTCTCTGTAGCCAGAGGAGTTGAAGTCGGGACGGGGGGAGACTGGATTTCAAGTTTTTCTGGAGACTCCACATGTAAATCTGGTTTATTATCAGAAGCTTCAGTCTTTGATAAGTTCGATCTGGGATCAAGACCTTCTTTATCATCAGAGACATTAGCCAGATTATTTTGATCACCAGTGAGTGACGACTCACTTCCGGCACCATGAGGAGCAACGTCGCTGTCACCACCGTTAAGTGTAGGCTTATCGGTTGTCACCTTGTCGACAACATCTGCATCCGATAGAAAAGGATCCCAGGCGAATGCTCTATGGGTTGATTATAGACCGGGTAACAGATGAGTTAATGATCAGATGTAATATATGGCAAAATTTCTATGCAACTAAATCGGACGGTAAATGATGGATTGTTCAATGGAAGCCTAGATAAATAATTAATTAAAGGATGAAGTTGTTGCCCTTAAGAGAAAATAATCAACGGATAATATTTTTGGAGATCCCACATCTGCGAAAACAAAGTCTAAGCAATTTAACTTGCTTAACTGGCTGATACTGAATAAGAAATGAAAAGATTAAGCATAACACGTCTAGTAGTTTTATCATCTATCTTTGAAATGTGCATTAAAGCCCGTATGAAAACCAAACGTTCCGTGACGATAAGGTCGATTTAGCCTAGTTAAACTCTTGTATCTAGTGGCAAAGCCACAGTTATCATTTACGAATTAATTCTAACACTGCAATGGAAATCTCTTGACAATCTAAGAGAAATGACTACGTTTAGAATAAGATACATCTCTTTCAGAGCTGTTACAGGAAGCTTAAGAACCCGGATAACTAGCCCCATTAATAGTATCCTAATGTAGGAGTTTGTATGAAAAGTTTCAGCAATTTGCCTCTCCCATATAAATAGCACAGGAATTATATAATTTCAATCTCATTTCACGATCTTGGCTCGCAGGCTCGGTGTCAGTTATCAACACTTGCATGCTAATTCATTACATATGCTATTAGGCTTTTGTACATCACAATATGTTAAAAAAATCGAGTCGACTTTTTAAAACTCCAATCAAGGTCTCTTCTCTAAGAAAGATCCTGGTATGCGGCTTTGTCTTTTAATTACCGACATCATTCTAT